TTATACTTAAAAATAATTTAATCATAAAATTATATTAATATTATATTATTCTATTATAGAAGAAAATATTTTTAAGTCACTGATAATTATATAAATTTATACTTAAAAATAATTTAATCATAAAACTATATTAATATTATATTATTCTATTATAGAAGAAAATATTTATAAGTCACTGATGTTATTAAAGGCATAAAGCCTTTTTTTCTCTTCTTAAATTCGGCTGAACAGAGGCTTGTAAGGAAAATTGAAGAGAAATAAGAGAGAAATTGAGGAGAGAGGAAAAAAGAAAGTTAGATTTGGAGATTGTAGAACATTTTTTGTTAGTTGAAACTGTTGGGGGATTTGCTCGTCTCGCTTTAAAGAATCATTATCATTTTTTAAAAATAATTTATCATTTTTTATATTTTTTTAATCAAATTTGTATTTTCTTTCCTGAAAAACGAAGATAATTTTGTACAGGTCAAACTTCCATCACATAACTTTTATATGTTATAAAATTGAGATTATGAATGTTTTGAGTATTTATTTGAAATTTTTTGTCATGTGAATTTGAAAAAGTAGAGATTTTTATTAATTCAAAATTTTATTTTTGACATCTAAAATTAGTATTTTAGTTTAATTAAAGCTTCAAAATATTGTTATATGCAATTTGTGGTAATTTTGTTAATTTACTCTGACATCATTTGTAACAACTCAAACTCTTAAATATCAAGATATTGTCCGTTTCTACTTATGAGTCTCATAGTTTTGTCTCGTTGGTGTAACTTCTCAGGAGGTCATCCATCTCACGATTTCTCCTAGATGAGCAGGCTTAACTACGGAGTTTTTAATGAAATTCTAATCATTATATCAATAGTCGTCTTAATGTTTAAGAGTTTAGCTTATTTTACTTAAGGGGTTTCACACTTTACACTTGCAAAACTTTCATCGCATAATTTTCTGTATATTATAAAAATAATGATTTTGTACGTTAGATATTTTTCTTGGAAATTCTACACCAGGAATTTTGGAAATTATATTATTTTAATTGATTGAAAAATAATATTGACTCTGAAAAATAATATTATAGTATAAGTAAAGCTTCAAGATAATTTTATGAATTATCTTTCTAAAATAATACATTTTTGCTCAAAAGTATATTTAGTTGTCTATATTTATGACTTTTTTTGAAATTATGAAGCTAGTTCATTTAAGTTTTAACTATTGCAATGAAATGAATCATGTGTTTATCTGATCGAATGGTGTAAGTTTGACGAGTTTTGGGGTGGATGGAGAAAGTTTTGTTTTAGTGCTAAATGCATTTTCTAGTGCTTACATGCATGTTCTAGTGTTACATGCACATTATGTTCTTAGAATTATTTAAATTCTATTTGATTGGAATTATAATTATCAAAATTTTATGAATTCTATATGTTAGGAGGCATAAGGGTCAGAAATATTTGAATTTTATTTGATATGAATCATTTGTTTATTTGTTTTTCCAATATTGTTATTTAAATTCTTGATAATTGCAACTATTATTTTGCTCAACACAATGATTTATTGCCTTTATCACTCAATTAAATGCTTAATAATAGATTTATTTGAAATTTAGATTAGTAAATATGATCTGCTAAGCTATGTTAGCTCACAATTATTTGACCTTTTGTTTTATAGGGCCTGAGAGAGGGAAAGGGTCAGTTGAATAATAGTGTCGAGATCTTATCCGAGTTTGTATATGTATTTCTTTTTTATTTTTATACAGAAATGACAAGTTCTTATTGTTATATTATGTAGTTCAATATGTAGTCATATAATGTAGTTATATATTTATTTTGATGACAAAAGAAAAAAAAAAGAATTTTGCATATGAGTTTATTTTTAATATATTGGATGTTATTAGTAGCTCTACAATTTTGATTCTATGTACTACAGTTGTATACACTTATTACAAGTTTCTCTATGATTTAAAGATATGAGAAGACTTAATCCTTAGAAGATACATTATTTTTATTCATTTAAAAAAAGTCTTAAAATGTCCTTATTAATTAAGAGGTTAATATATTTCAACTGAGAGGCAAAATCTTATTTCTAACTCTAGACTCAACTACGTCGTATTATATTTCTAACTAGATTAAGATCTCAAATATATCTCAAAGATATATAAAAGATTTAAGCTTCATTTGAGACGATTTTCTTACTGCTTGTTAAAGTAAATTTTTAGCATAAAAATTAAAATTTAAAAAGCAATAAAAATATCGTCCCAAACGAAGTCTTAAGCTTCGTTTGGGACGGCTTTTTTCCTGCTTCTTAAAGCGACTTTTTAGTATAAAATTTTTAATTTTGTACTAAAAAACTGCTTTTAGAAGCAATAAGAAAGTCGTCTCAAACGAAACCTTAATCCCCTCATCAGATAAAATTCTCACAAAATTGAATTGATATTGCAATAAGATGAAGAGTTTTTCTTTAATAAATTGATTATGAACATCAGTTAAGATTATATGTATGGAGAAGTACATAAATGTAATTAAAACACGTGCAGGTGAAGGGCATTGGTGGGCCACCATGAAATACGGTGGCCTAACAGAGCCTGATCTGTAATGAAACGTGTTTCTCATGTTTCATCTGAAACGGGTATTTATTTCATTAAGAATCATGCGCTCTTAGCTAAGGTTGGATAAAAAAAAATTAATAATAAATTATGAAATTTTATTCAACTAATATATTATCTTATCGCTGTTAAAAATGGTATTTTCATATGAATAATCATAAACTTTGACATATATTTATTTTTTGTTTTTTATTCTACTAATTAAGTATTAGTTTTTAATAATTTATTATTTTGTCTTATATTTCATTGTAAATGTCTTTATTATTTATAAATTTATCATTAGATAATTTCATAGTATTTAAATGTAATAGAAATGTCTTTTAAGCACATTCTAATTAAAATTAGATCAAAATATTCTAATCCATTCATTTTTTATTTATATTTGTTCAAGTTGGCTATAATTCAATTTTTTTTATTATTAAATCCTTTATCTAATTAGTTGGTCATGAATAATGTCTAGTCCATGCTTAGTGCCAAAACATTATGGAAGTAAATAGAAAATTTATCATACTAGAGGTTCAATTAGAGCTACTACAAAATCCAAAATAATAAAATAGCACGAATAAATTTCATTTCATCAAAATTTATATTCATTAATCCATATCCAAAAATTCTATGCGTCAAAATAATTTAAAGCTGGATTACAAAAAATGGTACCTTGCTACTCAGAACCCACCCAAAGATCTTGCCATTATACTCGATCTACGCTACTGGGCCTTTCCCTTTTTCTAAAATATTAGAAAGAACGAAATGATCACAATTAATTCAGTAGGCTTCTTACCCTGACCCATCATAGATATCAGTATTTTAATTAAAAGATAAAATTACAACATAATTAAAAGACAATAAAAAAATAAAGTATTAGTAAAAATAGTAAAACACAACTTTTTTGGGTTTCAATGCGTACTTGAAGTTTTCGCTTACTTACAAAGCTACTTTCAAAGAGATTTTTCAAGTACTTCATAGAATACTTGTCATCATATATTTACTTGTACTTAACTTTCATAATTCATCAAAGTTCATAGAGAAATCCAAAAATTTCTAATATTAATTTCATATTATTACTCATATTTATTTCATTCATATAAATGCAATGAAATGATTATAAAACACATGTCCCAATGCTTGCTTATAACTCTACTTTTATTCATGTCCGGCATATAATGAGTAGGGACATAATCAGAATAGAATAGCATTACGTAAACTCCCGCATATGCTTTTAACAAGTGGGGCTAGAATCCCTCCCATGTCCGCACTAGGCAGATGTGATTAGAATAAAATTTATATGGCTCTTATAACATATCAGATAATACACTTTTTCACATATTAAAATATCATCAATATCATGTTATACATAGTATAAATGCAAATGCAATAGTAACTAAATTATTAATTCAATTTAGAACTCAAATAATTCATGAATTGTCAATAAAAACCGCATTACATGTGTAACATTATACCCTTTGAATTTTTCCTGATCAATTTCCAACTTCGGAGGAATATTCATATGAACATTTTAAAACTTTTATATAGCTATTGTAATTACCAAAAAAGCCTCAATCAAACCATATACTAACAAATTTCCATAGGAAAGACCAATCGATGAAAATCAAATTTCTTATAGTCAAAACATTCAGAGTAGAGTATGCAACAACATTAAAATCGATGAAAATCAAATTTCTTATAGTCAAAACATTCAGATTATATATATATATAATCTATTTTCCTCCCTTTCTCCTCTTCTCTTCTTTGGCATGATATCTAGGGTGAAGTAAAATGATAAATGGTTTTACATATTGTAATATTTTAAACACCTTATTTTGAACTAGTGTCGTGGCGCTCAACTTCTCAGCATTGTTGCGCTCCCAAAGAATCTTCTCAACTCTCCAAGAATCTCACATGTAGAAGGCTCAGCACCACATCACACATTATTTTTCTCCATTTTCTCAAGAGCTCAATGCCCCGGCACTGTCAATCCTGGCGCTACAACGCCTATAAAATAATTTTTTTACCTCAGATTTTCTCTTCTCTAATCCCATCCTTCATTACTTAAAGCCTCATTAAACATTATAAGACTGATAATTACAAATTAAATCAAAAACATATAAGTATTTAGTTTAATTCACCATAATTACCTTAGTTTCTCGCGATGGATATTACACCCTTAAAGTAGGATGTCATTTGAGAATATAATGTGATTTGTGCCCTCGTTCATCAATTATTACTAAGGATGGTTGCGAATAAAGAGAATATTGAGAGCTACTTTCTATTGGCCAAAAGTGAATTTTTCTAAAATCTGCTTTCAATAAATTTTTGTGCTCGGAAATTATTCTCTCCATAGCAATTTTACAATTATTTTTATAAAAATTTGTGATAGTCCCAAACGACCCTATAAACCATGAAAAAGTTATTTAATTCGAGCCGTGTATTGGTATATAACTTTAGCAAGCAGGTAGCAGAAACTAGGAAATGATCAAGTTGTTACAAAACATTCCTATCTAATTCCGATCATATTGCGATTTACTTGACCAAAAGACAAAAGAAAAAAATAAAAGAAGGCTAAAAGAGATGGTATATTAAGCTTTGATGTTGCTTTATTTTGCAGAGTTTAACAAGAGGATGCTCTCTTCCTCTCTGTCTCTGTGCAGATGATTCCTGATTCACGCATCACTTGTATCCACTGCAAGCTAACTTTGGCTGTTGTAGTTTCCCCTTGCGCGCCAAAGCCCAGAATGCAGCTAATCCTTCAGTTAGGCTTCGTTTGGGACGGATTTCTTACTGCTTCTTAAAGCAGCGGTTGTAATAAAAAACTGCTTTACGAAGCAGTAAGAAAGCCGATCCAAACGAAGCTTTAGCTATTCCTCTTCACAAATATTTCTTTCATTCTGTGCTATGCGTACCACTATTTATTCAGAATCACTATCCTTGCTTCCCATAGCTCTCAAACCTCTGGGCCTCTGCTGAAGAAAATTATGAGAAGCAAAAACAGGTTAGGTATACCTGGCTTCTTGATATTTCTATATTTCGCTAGGGTTCAGGATCCCACCTTTTTGGAGGTTTTCTTCTCTCGAACTTCATATCTTTCCAGTGACAGATCACATAGCCATGTACCCGGGCTCATCAGCTGTCACAGAAATCAAAGCAACAGTTATTGTCATGGAATCCTCACGCACCTTGGTCCCCCAATAAAATATTATAGACATGGCAGGCTGTGGGGGAATCATGTGCATCATAAAATTAAGATGACAAAGCAGAGAGCACATCAGTCAAGATTTAGGCTTCGTTTGGGACGGCTTTTTTATTGCTTTCTAAAATGAAGTTTTAATACAAATTTTTTTATTTTTGTGTTTTGAAATGAAAAAGCTGTCCCAAACAAAGCCTTAATGTTTCTGCTTCTTAAAGCAACTTTTTAGTACAAATTTTGCACTAAAAAGTTGCTTTAAAAAACAGTAAAAAAACTATCACAAACGAAACCTTATTTTACTGAGAGAGCACAATTTAGTAGTTGAAATCAATTGCAAGTGGAAACCATTTGTAACGCATTGTTTGTTTAGTTACAAACTATCATTCTAACAAGCATTACATCAACACTGAATAGTCTCACGTTGAATTTATCATAAATTGCATTGTGGCACGAAGAAATCAATTGAGAAAAAGAAGAGTAATAATGAAAATACAAGAAGCATTCGACAGGTCAACTACAAGAATGTGAGCTGGGAGATCATTCTATATAATAAGCAACCAGTATTAGGACATTGCCCATATTGTCCTCCAATGAGAAGCACAGATCGCAGAAAGAAGATCAACAATTCATGTTTTGAGATTTGAGACAACAATAAGCTTGGCGTAACCAAAATCAGAAAGTTCTAATGAGAAACTGGAGAGAAAATGGGATGATTGTCATTGGCGTATTTAGCTAGAGAAAGGCCAGTAACTTTGAAGTATAGCAAACAATTAAAGGGAGAGAAGGAAAAATTGATGAAATATCAGGCAAAATAGTCTATACTCAGCATATGAAAAAGAAGAGGTATCATGGTTAATAAGGCTATCCACCACCATAGGACTTTGTAAAGAGAATACATCCATATAGCTTATCTCCATTTGCTTAAAAATACCTTCTTTGGACAAGTCTGCAGCCAGTACGGTGACACCAACGATCTCCTTTTAAGTGCAAAACAAGAGCACATGCAAAATAAACTCTTTCTTGTATGTTCTTAAGTTCTAGTTTGTCACACACCACTAACTATTTATTTCGCCAGCAACTTACAGGTTAGCAGTTCTTCTTTATATATATATCCTCTCCTACTATTGCCAAGTATATGTACACAACATGACAATGAAAGAGTTTTTATTCTACGGACCTTTTGGCATGGGCATCGATTCAAATATTTAAATTTTATAATCTTGCAATAAGCACCGCATAGTGGGATAAAGACTTGATGTTGTTGTTGTAATCTTGCAATAAGCACTAAGTCTATTAAGCAACAAATTTACTATGGACCCCATGAACAAGCGTTAGTAAATCAATTTTAATGAACATAGAAAAGGTTTCAATGTTAGAAGAACTCTAGCTTTGAAAGAATTTCTATTTGTCAGGTTGCTGAGCATGATCCATTAAAGTGAAACAAAAGCAATGTAGATAAACTAATCTATCAGAAGGACGTGAAAATCTTATTTTCCAAATGAGTTGATCCAGACTCAAAATTTTCATTTCGAGTTTTCAAGTAGAGTCGAATATTGACACCTCTGCATAATATGTCCAAAAAGAGACAATAAAATAGTTGACATTTTATTGACACATATATTAGTTCTGTAATGCAATATTGCAGCAAGTCAAAGTTGGGTGGATCATGCTAACACCCTTAGGACTGACTTTGGTAATTGGACATGCCAAAAGCCTCCTAGTCATTAGAAGTTCAATAGACAACTCTCGAATGGCACTATTAATGTCTAAATTTTAATTTGATTATGTCAAAGTTAATTATATTCGAAATATTTTCTCTATTATTATAATATTTCACTTATTTTAGCAAATGTTTCTATGATTAAAATAATATCTACAAAAAAGTACACAGCTGACCATTAATGTAATCATATAATAATTGGAAACTACTTTATCATTGCATAACAACTTTTAATGCTAGCAACCAGTCATTGCTCAATCATATATATTTATTCCATGATGTGCACTAAATCAATTATCGTGTTATTTAGATCATACACCCCACAAAATCAATAAAAATCACATGAAAAACTTTTCTTTGCCCGCTATATTTTCTATTAATCATCTTTACAACTAATTCCACTTCATTTTTGTAGATCAATTGATAATGTATCTCATTATTTTTTTCAGTATGCTCTTTCAAAATAATATCTTGCTCAAAAATATTGTTAATAGCTTCTCCATTTATCTTGTCTTAGCTATCTATATATCTTCATCTCTTTTTCTTTAATGCCAAATCAACAAGCTATAGCTTTTGCTTTGCCCAACACACTCTTTGCAAAACTTTGGGTTTTCTTATAACCATAGTATTATTTTATTTTTGCCACTTTTAAGAGAATTTCTTTTTCAGAACAATATTTTGTATCCCTGAATCCCATCATCAAATTTCCTTATAAATGTATATGATATATACCAAGTCTCTCTTAAAACTTCTATGAAAATCTTCTAAATTGGACTAAGCACTTTCTACCACATTAAATTTGGCTAAACTGAAGATCTTCAATTTGTCTCTCTTAACAATCTAACTTTAAAGATTAATAATTTCTTTTCTTTTTAAATTCCACCTTTTTATTTTAAGATAAAATTTCATTTGATGATTTATATTATAATCCTAGGAAACATATTCAGATTTGCTACTCTGCATTATGTGGTTAAACTTTCTTATGAAATTATTGTACAATCTTATAAAATTACTTCTTCTTCTAAGTGAAAAGAAGAATATTTGTGATTTGATGGTTCATTTTTTTAAAGTATTACATGACTTTATTGCTTCTTAAAGTATGCATTCAATGTTGCAATAATATAAAGTACTGTGAAATAAAATAAAATATATTTAATGGCAAATCCATCACCAATTTCACACCCACCATTAATCATATTTTATCTAATTATCTTATGTCTGTTTAAGTAACCCCCAATAATAATCTCTTCTTCAAACATTTGTGGTAATAGTTCATCTATTTCTTCTCAAAATTGTTTTTTTAAACTATTGATTAGTCCCATTTAAGAAGCATAAGCAATACACATATTAATAATCCTTTTTTTTTAGCACATTCCAGAGAAAACTATGTATCCATTTATGTAATTGCAATGATCTTTTCTTCAAACCTCCATTGCAATGGTTCAACTAATTCTTCTAAAATTTGATATCTCAAACTATCTGCAAATCTAATTTAAGAGCATAACAATAATCAAATCTATAATGCATTCATATTGTCAGGTAGGGCCCAATCAACCAATTGCTGGACCAAAGGGTCTTGGGTTCGAAGCTTATATATGTCATATGTATGAGTTTGTCTTAATTAGCTCAAAAGTCCCCCCCAAAAAATAACTATTTATAATAAATATATACCTTTTATTTTTAATGAGAAGTATTTGTTCTTTTTGAAATAGAAAAGATATTTTAGTAATTTTTCAGGAAATTAAAAGGTCAATAAATTAAACCAAAATGAGTAAGAAGAAAAAGAAAAAAACAAAAAAAGCAACAGACTTACGTTAACGTTCTTTTGGATGGGCTTGGCCCGTTTCTTGGGCCGGAGTGAGGGCTTGGTCCCCTTGAAGGCCATGAAATCCTCTTCTTTCTCCTGCGTCGTCAACGCAATTTCGATCCTCGGCCATGCCGCCCCCTCGCTCCCCGACGACGATCCACCCTTCTCCGACGAACCCCACGGCCCACCTCCGCCGTTCACCGCCTCAGGCGGCGACGATCTCTCTCCCCCTCTCGTCCCCCCATTTCCATCCAAATTCCTGCAAAAACAAAACTGAAACATCTTAGCTCCGATCAAAACGAAGAGAAACCCAAACTCACCAGAAACCTAGCATTTACGATTTAATAAACGCGATCATCAGATCGGAGGCAGAATAATCTAAAGATTAAACACAAACCTATGCTGCTGCCGAGTTATCCTAGGCGACGATTCCCGATTCTGGTCAAACTCAGCCGCAGCCGACTCCCTCTCCATCGTTAATCAGAGGTAAACGCTAAAATTATTCCTTTTAATTTTGTTTTTTTGATGGATTCTTTTGTGTAGTCTTTCAACAACTACGAGCAACTAAGATCCTGAGATGCACAGATTTTTGTTTTTTTCATTTATTTTTCTACAGTACAGGCCGATCAAACGGCCCTGCTTGCATTAAATTTCTGCTTTCTCCTCAATAAAAGCGTTGGTTGCGTGTGTCCATCCATCTCGTGGTGGGAATATTATTCTTAAATAATAAACTTCTGATTTGACTCAGGTTTTTTACAGACGGCAGAGTGTAAGCAGACCCGTCCGCTTTCTATATAGAGGACCTTTATTTATTTTATTTTTTAATTTTAATAAATTAAAGACAGAAAAGTAAACCAATAAGATTTGTGCTAAGAAAAACTGAGTTGCAGAATAAAAAATTAATAATCCTTATTATTCGATAAATTTTATGCTAATTATCATCTACTTAATTCAATTTTTTATTTTTAATCCTTCAGGATTCGAAATATCACAATAATGGTATTTTACTTATTTGGGATAACTTTTTATTACTTTTTAAAATAGTTTTGTAGTAAAAAAAATTATTAATTAAAAAAATATTATGAAAAACTATTTTAAGAAGTAGTAAGAAAATAGTCTCATATCATCCAATCGAACTCCAATTTTGTAAAGGTAACGTTCTTTTTTCTTTTCAGCATTTCTTCGGCAAGTTAGGTAGAGATAAAAAAATAGCGGAGATGAACAATATAACGTCAATATTGATGTTCCACTGTTCACCAGCAAGCAAATAGCGGAAGTTTTATCATTCTGCTGGAGCTCTGCAGCAACGCCATTCAAACGTTTAGAGTCCGATTGGAGATACCCTAAGAAGCAAAAGCCGCAGTTCTTTTAGAGATTAATCTTGGCACAAAAATGGAGGAACATATCTAGCATTAAATATCTTAGCATTTCAAATGCAATAAAGGTAGGTTGGGCAAGATATATGAGATTTGGAAGAAACATCTTGATTCTACTTAGCTGGATGGGAGTATTGAAATCTAGGGAATAAAATATACATAGAGGAGAAATGTCTTATAGCTTTAGCAGAGATTTCCTGTGGAGAGGAAAGATAACCCAAAGAGGCTTGAATATACTTAATATGATTATGATTAAGATTTCGTTTGAAATAATTTTTTTACTGTTTCTTAAAATAATTTTTTAATACAAAAAATTTAATTTTTTACTAAAATATTGCTTTAAAAATTAGGAACAAAAGCCGTCTCAAATGAAGCCCAAGTCGGGTTTTGATTTTATGACATAAAAAAAAAAAGATCAACCTCACCTTTAAATAACAACGTAACTCATTTGCTTTCACATTTAAAAGCATGAATCAAATTCGCTTTGATAGTTTTAGCTTCCTGCTGAAGAGAGTGTGGCTTCACTTGAAGAGGCGATGGATGGGGAAATATGGCTGATGTGTCATCAAAAAATTATCTTGATTGGGCACGAATCTCAATGCCAAATCAAGTTGGAAACTTCCAAAATTAAAATTGGGATCATCCGAACTCCGATTTCAGCAAACTTATAGTCAAACTGAGCGTCTCCAGAATACGAACCCAACGACACCAAATACAACCCAATCCGAGCCCAAACGGGCCCAAATCAAGGGTTAGAAGCGTTGTTGGAAGGTTTGAACCACAATTTGGATTACCAAACGGTTTTCAAACATAACGAGCTTATAGTCGAATCGAGCGTCTCGTCTGGCTCGACGAGACGATTCCAATGAGTCCAAGATCACCAAAATCCGACATCACTAAAACATTCAAATGTCCATCAAACAGTCCATGATTAAGGGATTCAACATCGGTCGTTCATTCAACCACTCCTCATTTATCCTTGATCTCTCATCTATTTACAGGTCATGCTACTCCAAAAATCTATAAATAGACCCCTCATTTCTCTTGAAAAGTGATCCCAAACAAGAAGAGAATAAGAGAAGATAATGAAGAAGCTACTCCTCGACCACCGCCTGAGTTCCACCAGACCACCGTCTGTAGTCGTTGCTTCGCCGGACCACCACCTAAGGCCCTCACCTTCTCCGGACCACCGCCTGAGGCCCTCACCCTCGTCAGACCACTGCCTGAGGCTCTCACCCTCATCGGACCACCACCTGAGGCAATCACCTTCGCCGGACCATCACCTGAGGCCCTCACCTTCACCGAATCACCATCTGAGGCCCTACCTTCGTCGAACCACCACCTGAGGCCCTCACCTTTGCCGGACCATCACCTAAAGCCCTCACCTTCGCTGGACTACCACCTAAGAGCCTGAACTTCGCCAGACCATCACTTGACGCCATAAAACTCCGCTAGACCATCAACTGACGCTAGACTTCAGCCAAGTCACTGTCGAACTATTAACTGACGCCCCAATTTTCAAGTAACGTCATATTTAACACTAAACTTCAACCATACGGTTGTCATTTGTAATCTGATCACCCTCAGGGACGAGTAAGCCCATTGTATTCAACTCAAATTCTAGTAAAATCTTTTCAATTGGGCTAGGCTCCGTGGTTTTTCCCCTTTTAAGGATTTTCCATGCAAAAAATCTTGTGTCCTATGTGTGTGAGTTGGATATCCGTGTAATTCTAAGATGTAGAATTACAACTCTATTACCGCGTATATTCTAGCCCGCAACAATGATGAACATTGTTCTAAGGGATGAGTATGAGAGCTGCATTAATAGCTTTAAAATTTTTGAAAAGCACAAAGATAGATCATCAAATACAAAAGTTTTTCATGCTCTTGAAATGCTATCTTTACCATCATCGTAAATGGTCCAAAATATTCCCGAAAATGAGTATATAAATAGAAAATAGGATATTCCCGATGCGAACAGTAAAGAATGAGGGGCCAGAACTCAGAAGAGAGGCAAGGTAAAAACTGATAAAAGGAGCTCAGGAATATATAGAGCTTTGATGAAGATAAGATAAATAGCTCTTCAACCTCTTAGTCTTCCAAATAAAAAAAACATTGAAAAGTAAAATAATCCTTCAAACAAGATAAGAATATCTCAATTATCTTTTAGCTTTCATATCCACTTGATCGCAGCAAACAGCAAATAATAGAAAGCTAAACATAACCCACTAATGCAAGATCCCACTTTCTAGCCCCGGACAAGAATTCATCCACTAAGAAGGGAGACAGTATTACGTGCGGAGTCCAGATATAGCTTGTGTCTAGACTCCATTCAGATTGTGTCACAGCACGCGTACACAGTGGTGTGTACAACTTATACATAGTGATGTGTACAGCTTGTACACACTACCGTGTACAAGATGTACACACCAGTATATACAGGCGCCGTGGCGACACTTCTTTATCACTCTTCAAGATAAAACAGTATACTAACTTGCCATTTTTGGTGATTTGGGCATTAAGAAGCTCAAGCGTCTCGTCCGGCTCGACGAGACGATTCCAATGAGCCCAAGATCACCAAAATTCGACATCACTAAGACATTCAAATGTCCATCAAACAGTCCATGAATAAGGGATTCAACATCGGCCGTCCATTCAACCACTCCCCATTTACCCTTGACCTCTCACCTATTTACAGGCCATGCCACTTCAAAAATCTATAAATAGACCCCTCATTTCTCTTGAAAATTGATCCCAAGCAAGAAGAGAAGAAGAGAAGACGAGGAAGAAGAGAAGGAAGAAGCTACTCCTAGACCACCGACTAAGTTCCGTCGGACTACCGTCTATCGTCGTTGCTCCGCCGGACCACCACCTAAGACCCTCACCTTCGCCGGACCACCGCTTGTCGTTGCTCCGTCGGACCACCACCTAAGGCCCTTACCTTCGCCGGACCACTGCCTGAGGCCCTCACCCTCGTCGGACCACCGCCTGAGACTCGTCAGACCACCATTTAAAGCCATCACCTTCGCCGGACCACCACCTAAGGCCCTCACCTTCGCCGGACCACCATCTGAGGCCCTCACCTTCGTCGGACCACCGCCAGAGACCCTCACCTTCGTCGGACCATCACCTAAGACCCTCATCTTCGCTGGACTACCAATTAAGAGCCTGAACTCTGTCAGAACATCACTTGAGGCTCTAAAACTCCACCAAACCATCAATTGACGCCAGAGTTCTGCCAAGTTACTGTCAAACTATTAACTGACGCCTCAATTTTCAAGTGACGCCATATTTAACACTAGACTTCAACCATACGGTTGACATTTGTAATCTGATCGCCCTCAGGGACGAGTCAGCCCACTGTACTCAACTCAAATTCTAGTAAAATCTTTTCAACTGGGCTAGGCCCCATGGCTTTTCCCCTTTTCATGGTTTTCCGCGTAAAAAATCTTGTATCCTATGTGTGTGAGCTGGATATCCGTGCAACACTAAGACATAGAATTGCAACTCTATCGTCGCGTATATTCTTACCCGCAACAATGACTAACATTGTTCTAAGGGATGAGCATGAGAGCTGCATTAATAGCTTCCAAATTTTTGAAAAGCACAAAGATAGATCATCAAATACAAAAGTTTTTCATGCTCTTGAAATGCTATCTTTACCATTATCGTAAATGGTCCAAAATATTCCTGAAAATGAGTATATGAGTAGAAAATAGGATATTCCCGATGCGAACAGTAAAGAATGAGGGGCCAGAAGAGAGGCAAGGTAAAAACTGATAAAAGGAGCTCAGGAATATATAGAGCTTTGATGAAGATAAGATAAATAGCTCTTCAACCTCATAGTCTTCCAAATTAAAAAAAAAACATTGAAAAGTAAAAAAATCCTTCAAACAAGATAAGAATATCTCAATTATCTTTTAGCTTTCATATCCACTTGATCGCAGCACAGCAAATAATAGAAAGCTAAACATAACCCACTAATGCAAGATCCCACTTTCTAGCCCCAGACAAGAATTCATGCACTAAGAAGGGAGACACTAAGAAAGGAGATATTGTTATGTGCGGAGTCCAAACATAACTTATGACTGGACTCCATTCATATTGCACCACATCGCCAGACGCCAGTACACAGTGGTGTGTACAACTTGTACACAGTGATGCGTACAGCTTGTATGCAGTGTACAAGATATACACACCACAGTATATAGGCGACATGGCGATACTTCTTTATCACTTTTCAAGAAAAAACAGTATACTAACTTGCCATTTTTGGTGATTTGGGCATTATGAAGCCCATTCCAATTTATACGAACCAGAGGAAGGTACTTGCAGGCTTGCAGCATAGACACTTCTGCGTATTTTGGTTGGACGCATTCAACCTTACCAATAATAGAGAACTGGCACGAAGCAAAGTCATCGGGGCCGGTAAGAGGTTAGAAGGAAGTGCTTTGTATGAGTTTGGGACAAGAGAGATCTATGAGAGCCTGAATACAAACACTTATTTGAAAAAAAAAAAAATTTTTATTATATTAGGCAATTTAGTCAAGTTTTTTTTAAAAAAACAATTATTAAATTCTATCAATTATATTAGGCAATTTAGTCAAGTTTTTTTTAAAAAAATACAATTATTAAATTCTATCATTTAAAAAAATAAAAAATCAATATTAATTTTAAACCGCACAAACAGTCAAATTTCTCTTTCCTCTTTGTAAGCATGAAATATAATAACCTATTAATATGCAACTTGATCTTCCTTAATAGTCCCTGATTATGAAATAGAAAAAAAAAACAAATAAAGAAATAAATATTTTCAAAAATTACGAAATTTATTTAACTATTTCCTAAAAAAAAACCAAATATAATAATAATAATAATATAAATTAAACAATTACTTCAAAAAAAAAAAGCAGTCAAATGTATTCAGCTGGATGGGGAAAAAATCATATACTTTTTCAAAGAAAGCCCTGTATATATCACAATTGAGGAAAACTTCAGAGATAAACCGTAAAAAACATAAAAAGGTAAAGAAGAAGTTAGAAGTAAAAACCTCAAAACGCGATGGCTCGCCGAAGAGTTTCGGCGAGAGCCAGGGGCGGCTTGCTCCTTCTCGGATTGGACGGCTTGGCGGTCCATCGGAGTTGCCATGACTTTTTGCCCAATGACGGCGGCGGAAGCGACGGCGACGGCGGATTTCTTTCGGGAGAACTTAACGCACCTGACCCGCTTTCGCTTTCCCCAACCTAAAAGCAATTCTGGCCCCTCCAAAGGAGACGCTGCTCCGCCGGTGCTCTTACCGCCTGCTCCACATCCAGCGCGCGTGTGGTAATGATACCGGTCCATCCGCCCTCGCGCGTATCCTAGACCAGTTGTGATCGGCGTTATTCGAGAAGCAGAGGAAGAAATCAACGGAGAAGAAATAAAAAAAAGGCAGTAAATATTAGTTTTTTAACTGAACGTAAAAAAATGCTTCGAGATTCTTGGAGAAGAAGGCGATCAGGGGATAGCTTCGATTGCAAAATGGATGGTGAGATCGAGATCTGGGCTTCTCTTTGTCATGAAATGGCAACATAGGCACGAGAAGGAGACGAGAAGAGTGGGAAAACAGGTGAATAGATCATCTCAACTTCTTATGATTTAGAAAGATGGCAAAGAGTTAGAGATCGGTGAAGTTCATAAATTTCTGAAATAAGAAAAATGGATAGCGAACTTCATCGGTTGAACAAATATAATAGTTCGGAGGAAAGTAGAAGGATGCAAACAAGAACAAACTGGCTTCTGTCGATCGATTATTTTCTTTAGGAAGAAGAGAGGAGATACTGAAGAAATTAGACAAAAATGAGAGAGATTTGCGATGAGAAGGAAGAAATGCAAAAAGCTGGCAATCAAAATTAAGATAGTTACAGAGAGAGGGAAAAAAACTGATTAATCAGATTCAATGGAAGAATCAAATTTATCTTTATAAAATTTCAGTACAATGAAAAGAAACGAAGGTGGAAAAAGAAACATTCTGCATCGGAAAAGATTGAGAGTCTAGTAGCAATCAGGGATGGTTCTGATTTCAACTTTGAGCATTCACATCGATCGGTGCTTCTATAGCATGAAACTTCACAAAGATCCCGCAATCCCCTGAAAACTAGTGACGTTCTGCAACTCCAAAACTTAGAAACGGAAAACTTGACAAACCCAAGGAGAAAAAACTGAAAAATCCCCAAATGATACCATTTTATGTTGAAGTGTTCACTGATCCAAACTCACTCTCCATAAGTTTTAAGGGATGAACTGAGAAAACCATGAAAGTTATTGGGTAGAACGACGAACATGTAAGAACTCTGCGATTGAAATAATACGGTGAAAGGAAAAAAAAAAACTGAAAATCAGATACTTTACTGGACTGAAGAAAAATGGATGGAAAAAAATGAAATCCAAAAAAATATTGAATTGATTATGAATCTGAAACGATGAATTTAAGTTTTTCAAACTCTTTCGTTTCCTTCCACTAACTTCCTGGCTTCCAAACAAATCCAAAAAGGAGAAGGGCGGAGAAAAAGATTGCGATCGATTGCATCTTGCGTTAAGAAAATCCAAATCACCCGAAAACAAAAAGTTCGTACCAACACACAGACCCCAAAAAACAGAGGAAAAACCAGTCCATTCCGATGAAACAAGAAAGTTTACATCCACAGAAGAATGCTAACCTCAAGTCCCCAAATCTGCAGCAGTTCAAGTCGCCTAGGTTCAAACACCCAATTTCTTAGCTTTGCTGAAATCAATGATCAAATAAAGAGATGTGGAGAAGAGAACCTCTCGTCTCAGAGAAAAACCCTCAGCTCTTCGAAAAAGATTAATCAACAAACTCCCATCTCTCCTCTCCACTTCCAGAACTAGGAAGAAAGCAATGGAGGTTCGATCAGATTGATCGCAGGAATCTCTCTCTCCCTCCCCCTATCTATCCGAACTCCGAAGAGTCATTTTTATACTACCCCTTCTCGCCCTCTCCCATGGCTTCTCTCTCCCTCTCTCTCCTCATTCGATATAATCGACATCCGTTTAATCAGTTTCAAATTTTGTGCTCCGTTGATTGAGAACTGAACGGAAGATCTTGTTCTTAGGGATGTACCCGCAACGCCATGACTGAACGGCCCGTTAGAGCCCTCCCGGTTCGTGTTATGACTCGACCTGCCGACTCTTTCATCGGAACTTTTATTAGGTCAGGGGGTGTAAGGACGTAGGGGAACGTCTGGTTTAAGGCAAAAACCTGCAAAAAAATTTGGTATTTGCTCGATATTGCTAGGTATTATTTGATAATAACGAGGAATACTGCTCTGTGAAGATCAATACCAAGTTATACCGAGCTATACCGTGCAATACTGAGTTGTACCGAGTTTTTTCTAGAAAAAACTCGGTACAACTTTTGTATAACTCGGTTTTGCTCGGTATAGCTCGGTATAACTCGGTATTGGGTCTTTACGTGATGGTATTCGTTATTGTTTGGTATTGCTCGGTATTTCTCGATTTTTGGCGCGATTTGGCCTCCGACCGGACGTTCCTCTACGTCCGGTCTGAGGACGTAATAATTGTTCCTTTCATCGACGGGCTTTGATCTCCCCGGTTATTGATTTAATATTAAAAAAATTATGAAAAAGGAAGGTCGATATTATATATTATAAATTTCCTTTAAAAAATTATAAAAATCGATTTGTGTGGCTTTTTAGGCTGTTATAGCTCATTATAGTTTTGTTTCTATTTCTTAGGAGTCGGAAAAGGAAGGAGCTTGTTGATTAGTAGTTCAAGATCATATCTAAGTTTATAAGTATTTCTCTTTTCATTTTTGTAAAATCATGGTAGTTTTATTCATTTACGTAGCTGTTGTTTATAATAATGTACTATAGTTTATACATTTTGATAAAATGAAAGAAAAATTATGAATGAGCAGCACTTGAATGTTTTAGTAGTTCTATAGTTTATTATTTATTAAAAATAAACTTTAGAAGTGAATCTAAAATATTCTAAAACTAGATCATGGGATTTGCATGTCACAGCTCAACACGATAGGAATCATATTTGGTTGAGTTGTGACATTTCATATATGTAGAGGAAATTAGATAATGACTTTAATCAAGCACCTTCATTATAACTCTAGCAAGTTGTAGCTAGCATTTGATAGAACTAATATGCTATACAAAGCTCTAGAGATTAATCTAAAATATGGAAATTAAAGAGCTCAATTTTAGAATGGACTTCTTTAAGCTAAAGGAGAGTGTTGGAATGGATTCTCTTACTTGAGACCCTCTTAAGTTATTATTTCTAATTTTTTGGCTTTTTTAGCATGGACAATAGGTGTCAAAGGCTTAGCAAATTATTAGGTTACATGATATTGATAAAGGAACATTTTGCCAAGTCTTAAGCAACATAGGAGGATTTATTATGGGCTGGATCGATGACATTGAATTTATTTACCTTTTAAAATTTAAAATGAGTCTTCACATTTGCTAACCCAATCATGTTCTTACTAGATTGAGCCTATGAGTTGCTCAAGAGGTTATGAAAAATGTAAGAATTAATTTTTCATGGATTGATTTAATTTGAGTTTTGTTACCAACTTGATCCAAGCACTGTGATTTTGATGATAAAAATTATTATTTTGTCTACTATTGCTTTCTCTTAATTCTATGATAGTTTGGTTTGTTTTGTGTTTACTAGCGTTTTAGGATATCAGTCCACCATTCAATTGCAATTCTAATGAGGTCAAAATTGGGTAGACTAGGGTTATAGTCGGTTTTCCTTTTGTTCTATATTTTTTTTCTTTCTTGAGTCGTGTCATGTAATTTGATGGATATATGTGCTGAGTAACTTTGCACACACATAGGGGGAGAGAAAAATATTTTTATAGAGTTTTTTTAAGTACTTCATATTGTATGAATTTAATTCATACTGTGTGATCTCTTGTACTCTTTCAAAAGTTAAGTCGCTAGAGGTTAAAAAATATACTAATTATGTGCAGATAATACAATACGATTTGGTTCGTATTGTACACCATAATTAAAACATTTCTTAATTAATTCCTCGATATCAGATAATTAAATCATGGATAATTATTATGACCGATCATATTATATGATATAATTCATACTATATGATTTACCGTGTATAAAATTAGTCATCCTAGAGATCGTACTGAACAAAATCCATGATTTTTATACTGATCGTACTATACAATGTCCACAGTGCTGGACGATCGATAGTGTACGAAGTTGGTAGTCCCAAGGGTCATCCCAAATGAACAAAAGAAATTTTCATAGTTCGTAGCATATGATATTTTGATCGTATTGTATGAAATGTTATAAAGGTTGAGCAGTTCATCTGCACGACCTTACTAGATGAGACTGAATCATACTGATAGTACGGTACGATACATATATCTTATTGTACAAACAAAAGATGAAACTCCTAAAAATTAGGATTTCTTGAAGCCTAATATTTAAGGTTTTCTAATACTCATATTAGAAAATCTATGGTTATTGAGACTTCAGGAGAGAGAGCCTTGAGAGAGAGAAGGAGAGCTTTGTGAGAGAAGAGAGAGAGATTTTGTGAGGGAGAAGTTGTGAGGGGATTCATAAGGTTGCTCTAAGCAAGAATTTTGTCTAGTAACTTAAGTGTCTTCATGGATTCTCTGTGGCTCCGGAGAAGAAGTTCTTTAGCAAAGATCGTGGTTCTTTGACCATCACCTAGATGGTAAAAATAGAGTCGTGGTTCTCTGACCATCACTTGGAGGGTGAAAATAGAGTTGTGGTTCTATGACCATCACCTAGAGGGTTAAAATAGAGTTGAGGCTCTTTTCCTATAAAAGAGTCACGGTTCTCTGCCGCACTAGGGTGGTGAAATAGCATTTGTATAGGTTTCTTAGCCATGCTATGAGAGCAAAACGAGAGTCACTACTTTTAGTACAATACTTGGAGAGAGAGTCTCCAATGAGTGGTCGTAGGTCAGGTTGATTGAACCACTATAAATTTTGGTTATTCATTCTGATTATTTTCTATAATTATATGTGTGGTTAAAAAACCTGATTTATTTTGTTGTTGTGAAATTTACTTTTTTATGTATCCACTGTATTGATTATATCGTGTGTGGGTTTGAAAAGTTTTTTAAGATTTTTTTAAAATAATCAATTCACCCCCCCCGGTTTTTAGCTAATTTGGTTTAATCCAATGGGCCATTTGAGTTCAATTAAGCTTAATGAACTTATCCAAAGGTTGAATTTGATCAATTTGGCTTGGATCAACTTATCTTAACCTAATTAGCATAGGTTGGCTTTTGAGTCAAACCAGAGGTTTTAACTATATCAATTTAGTTGATGGTTCTAAATTTAATCAAAAACACTTTCAAGGGTGTAAGATCATTGGATTAGCTTAGATTGGATTTGAGCTAGCATAGATTTAATATTGCTTGAGTATGCTGGCATCTCCTTAAGGTTAACCTAATAGCCTTGAGTATAAGCTAATGAGACATAATAACTTAGAACTTCTCTAGATAGTTTATGTGGATGTTGGTCAATTTGTTGAGCTATTAGATTGTCTTTATGATTTAACTGAATTATATTAGGATCTAGTTAATAGGCTGAACCATTTGGACTCATCTTATGAGAGGCTAGATTCTAATTAGTGTATTTAGTACTAATTGAACCATAACCAAATAATGTTTACATAATAAAATATTGATAAAATTTCCTGCATCTAGGTTGATAAGAAATAAAAATTAATACTGATTTGGATGCCTGTCACTATACTTATTGTATATGGTACCTACTAAGAGTAAGCCAAGATAATGTCAAAAAAATTTATATGTATTTGATATGTGGTTGAATATTTTTAGACAAAATATTAAGAAAATAAATTGGTTGAAAAATCATTACAATAAACACAATCTTAACCACCATTATTAGAAATAATCATTACAAACTAAATCTTGATATTATAATTTTTTTTCTTCTTTAATCATATAAAGGAGAATCATTGTAATATAACTTCTCATATTAGTGAAACTAATTTAACTTGGATAGGCCTTGGGATTATTTAACTTGGATAGGCCTTGGGATTTCTCCTTCACTAGATTTTTCATATAAAAAATTATGTGCCTCTAATGTGTCTAATTCTTTATTTATTTATATGTGTAGCTTATTCATGCAAGCTAAGACATAAATTTTAACCTCCATCTCATGGATTTTTTAGAACACAATCACTATAAAAGAATATGTATATATGATAAATATATTTTATTGAAGGTAATAACAGACTTCGAATGGATCAAAATTATATCATATTAACAGAATACTTACGGATTATGCATTTATAATTTTGTATTATAATACCTATTTAAGTTATAAGTAGTTGATGATTGCCTCATTTCTTCTTTCTCCTTAAATAATATTGTCCACATTCCCTCACTCTCTCATTCCTCTTGAAGTGGTTTCCTCCAACATGTATTTGTCATGTTCATTATTTCAACCTTTCGAGTGCACCATCCCCTTCAAACTCATTATTTGAGACTTTTCTTCCTCAATATTAATATAGCCATCTCGATCATCCTATATAAGACCCCTGCCCAAATCCTACCATTTGGATCTCCCTCACTTAATCCCATCATTCTTAGACACACTCCATCAATCTCGTCATCATCCCCAAGTCCCTTGTTGCCTCCAATCTCACCATTCTAAGGCTCCTCCATGATTTTGTCATTTTCACACATGATCCAACTGTTTAGAATTCACTACTAAAAAAAGTCAAAAGCCATGATAGTTCTTAGCATTGGTTTTTAAATCTCTACTAATTTTGGGCACTAGTAACAATTTAAACTGCTACTACTTTAAAAAATAATAGCTCTTTAAACTGTTGCAACAACTTAAGTAAATATCAACCCATTATCCTCTTACACTTCCTCCTATAAATTTCTAAATCCCTGCTTCTTGTTCCCGCCTCTATCAATGACTAACTTCCCCAACAAGATTTTGCTGATTTCGCCTTCTCTCTAAAATCCATATTACCTTTCTTCATCGTGTTGT